AATTCCTGTGTCAAGAAAATGAGATAAAGGCTGATTTTTCTCTCTTTTGAAAAAATAAATAAAAAAAGGTTCTAGTGGAAATTTTCAGCATTTTAATTTAAGTTATATTTTCTTAAAATTACAGCCATGTAATCTGAAAGGATTAAAAAAATATCACATTATGGATTAAATTATAAACATGATGTATAACATTTTTTTTAATTTAACAGAGTACTCCTTAATTTAACATCATATTGAATAGTATTGCACTTCAAAAAATATTAAATTTTAATGATTTTAATGGGGGGCCTATCCGTAACGGTTGGGGGCCGAGAAAGTATGGCCACTGTTTCAAAAAAATTGGCTACTGAAATTCAAATATGGCTACTGATTTTTTAGGTCCAGGGTGAGCCCTGAATGGTAGTGGTTATTCGTTGCATAACGTTTAGCAATTTGGGTATTGGCAACAACTGGTTCAACCGTTATTAGTATAATGTGACCGGGCGGAATGCTGTGCTAGGTGCCTTCGGCATGGTATTTCATTGAGATAGCATCAGATCCACGCTATCACAACGAGGCAAGTTCACAACATACCTTGTCTCAGCTGGCACCCATACACATATGCATGCTTACCCAACACACATAGAGGCACATCCTTAAATGACCTAAGCTGTAAATAGGACATTAAACAAAACAAGAGGCCCAGAGGGCCTGTATCGCTCACCTGGAAATGTTGCTGGTAGTGTTCATGTGTTACATGGTTAGTCAGTGTTTTATTTATATGCAATTCGACAAAATCCTGCCATTCCTACAGGAAAAGGAGGATTTTGAAGAATTTGCTATGTTTCCCCTTCCGGGTCTCTCTGCCCCCAGAGGGGGTCAGACCCACTGTTGATACAAATTAAGTCCCCTTCACCCAAGGATGCTTTAGACCAAATATGGACGAAATCCTGTCATTCCTACAGAAGAAGAAGGATTTTAAAGAATTTACTAAATGACCCCTTTTGGGCCCTGCTCTCTGCCCCAAGAGGATTCAGACCCACCATTTATACAAAATTAATTTCCCTTTCCCAGAGAATGCTTCAAACCAAATTTGGACAAAATCCTGCTATTCNGGGGGGGGGGGACCCACCGCTTATACAAAATTGAGTCCCCTTAGCCTAAGAATGCTCTAGACCAAATTTAGTCAAAATCTACTGGGTTGTTCAGGACAAGTAGTGTTTTAAAGGAAAAGTTGACGGACTGACCACTGACGCTGAAGTATGGCATAAGCTCACCATGGTTCTTCGGAACGGTGTCCTAATAAAACCAAAGCAAAGCAAAGCAAACCAAGGGTGCCGACAGCAAAAGTGAACATAACCCCTGGAGTATCAAGGGTGGTAAGCTTGAAGTAATGGGTATTGGTAAAAGTTCTTTGTAATTGCAAAGAGCAATGCATTGTAATGGGAATAAATTATTCCAGTAGATTTTGAATAATTCCATTAGAACTTTTACATTAGAACAATTTAAATCCTACTGCTTTTTAAACATTTGTTTACAGATATTTGGTATTTTTCTACAAATATGTGTTTGATGCAAATGATTTCTCTAAATGATCTTAATTGTTCTCCTTCCTATTTATTAATACCTATTTGAACATTTTGAGATAACTTTTTCTGTGATTAAGATATCACATTATTACATGGGGCCAATCAAGGAACTTGACTTCCTGTATTCCATTAATTGTTCATATAAGGGTACTAATGTGGAGACCGACATTGGCAAAACAGGAGAATAGGAGATGCCCACATTAGATTCTCACACGACAAATTAGACCATTTATATCTTGTGAAGAACAAATTTGGACAGGATATAGTCAAAAGATTAACTCATTCACCCCTGAAGACACATTTGAACTCTTCCAATTCAAAGGATGGAATAGTTTATTATGACATTTCAGGGGTGAATGAGTTAAGATACAGTGGTGTCTTTCACATTTCCTCTTGATTTGTGGTTGAAACAATACAAATATGAGTTGAGCTGGGAGAGGAAACTCAGAATACAAAGTCAGCTTGAATCGATAGTCATAAAAAAATATTGGTATCTGTCATAATATAGTCCTTCAATTTCATCAAAAATGACTTCTTTTAAGTCCTTAGATTTTGAGTTCCAAAACCTGTATGACCCCTGGACCCCTCAGGAACCAGGTTTACTTCTTTATTTCTACTTGGGAATACTGTAGGGGACAAATTAAAGTTGATGTACAACACTAAGGATCTCTATCTCTCTCTGCACGGTAGTCCAGTGGTAGGACGCTGGGCTCGTGACCGAAGGGTTGCAGGTTCAAGTCACAGCACGGTACTGTGTTGTATCTTTGAGCAAGATACTTAACTCCGCTTGTTCCAGTCAACTCAGCTGTAAATGAGAACATGGTTGGGCAGTGCTAGGATTGTTGAATGCTAGCTGTTAGTGCCGAAATGGCAGCTCCGGCTGTTTGCAAAGGCCCTATAATGACGGATAATAATTTGTGAACTGGTTTGAGACGAATTAGGTTGTAATAGAGTGGTATATAAGAACCTCGAGTTATTATTATTATATAGTGCATGGCTGCGCCCATGCTCCTCAGCATTTAATCAGCTCATCAGTAGACACCTGCTGTTATAAAGCACAAAATAATTATCATGTCCTTTGTATATATGTAGATGTATTGATGTTCATAAAAACTTTGGCTTGTTGTAGCGTGAACATCACTGGTGACGGTATGAAGGCTGTAGTGACGCTAGCCAGTGGCGATATGAGGAGAGCTCTCAACATTCTCCAGGTAAGTAACATCACTGGTGACGGTATGAAGGCTGTAGTGACGCTAGGCAGTGATGACATGAGGAGGGCTCTCAACATTCTCCAGGTAAGTAACATCACTGGTGATGTATGAACTTCATTGAAGGCTGTAGTGACGCTAGCCAGTGGTTACTCTTAAAAGTGGTTTCATGTTCTTGTCTTTTTATTAGGGTGGGGGGATAGTGTTATCTGTGCCTGTCCATTCCCACCTTCCACATCGCCTCACTTCCTTTACTGATTCAGTGGGTTTTTTTCTAGTGATTTCATATCTGAACAACTTTTCATCAAACTTTATACAAAGTATAAGTAGGGGAAGACCTGTTTCATGATCCCTATGTCAAGGCAATGGCCACTTTCTTTTTTAACCTATTTATTGTCATAGCTCTAGTGACTTTATGTTTAGTGGAATTTGGAAAGATTTTACACAAAGGTTAAATGATGAGAATTTCTATCACAAATTAAATATTTCATGGTGCTAAGGTCGATGTATCTCTGAACAACAAACCTTTGTCACTGCTCTAGTGATGTAGTAGAATTTAATAAATCATGAAACAAATACAAGGGAAGACATTACACTGAATTTATCATTATGAGGAACCCATGATCAGTCTAATTTACATTGCCACAGGATCATTCATGTCTGGCAGATATTTTTCTAGTTTTATCAAATGCATAACTTATTATGACTATTTTTTGGGGCACTTTTGTTGTTTTAATACTTTAAATCCATTTATAACATCTGAATAGCTGATTGTAGGGTTGAAATTTGGCCAGTAGTGGTTAACTCCCCTTCCTCAGACACCCTCACACACTAACTATGTAGGCAAGGCACAATCACCCAGATACCAGTCTTTTACAACATTTTATCATTTCTTAGATTTATAAGTTGCCTCCCTTGTAACATAACGTTGTAATTCAGCAAGATGTTTTAAAAACTCTTTTTATCATTATATAACTATTCGTCTTCATCTGGTAGAACACTGAACATGTGTTCATAATGGTTCAAAGAAGAAAGAACACAGGTAAGAATGAAGAACTGTTTTTTGTCAAGGAGTCAAATTCAGTGTGACATGTAATATGAGGGGCATGGATTAGGTACAAGGGAGGTAACTGCTAATGCAGGTAGTAATCATCATAAGGGGAATAACTCTTGCGTTCTTGGCATAATGTACTGTGAACAAATTCTTTCTATATTACAGTGTACACACATGGCCTACGACTGCGTGTCAGAAAACAATGTTTATACGTGTGTTGGCCATCCTTTACGACGAGACATAGAAAACATTGTCAACTGGGTCCTAAACGAAGGCTTCACCGTCGCCTATAATAGTATCCTTTGTGCATTGTGGGCTATTTAAGGAAACATGCTACATTACTGTTGTATATCTTCATTCCTGAAGAGTTCCTTGATGAGAAAACAATGAAATGTATGTATGGTGTTGATGATAATGTTGACATCAGTAAATTGCGCATCTGATAGCTTCACTGAAAATGCCTACATTGCTTTTGATTAGGTTATAACTGTAATTAACCCCTTCACCACTGTAGACCATAATGGACTCATCCAGATCAATGCATGGTAGAGTCTACTAAAGTTACATAGGGGTGAAAGGGTTAACCTATGAGGACAGTTCCTACAGAGATGTGATCCCTTAACCCTTTCACCACTGTAGACCATGATGGACTCATCCATATCAATGCATGGAAGAGTCTAATAAAGTTACATAGGGGTGAAAGGGTTAAGATTCACGTACCACTGCCAAAAACTGTGACTACACATTGGACACTGTGATTTCCGGCATGACTAAAGCATTTATAAATCATTTCTGAAAAGAAAACCATACCTTGTGGGACTTAAATGACAAAATAATAAATATGAAGTATTATACATAATATTCCGGGGGCTGGACCGGAATTCAATCCCTTCACTTAAGGTTGTTATACAATCGCTCTAACAGAGTTAACGTTATTGCTACCTGGTCGACAGAAGTGTTCTGGCTCACCTGTGCTACAGTTATAACCAAAACAAAGTTTAGGGGAAGATACTGCATGAATGAAGAACCAAAGTACAGTGGGACAAGGATCCTAAAGGAAAAATTAAATGACACCCAATCTGGTCGTATTATATATATAGGATCTTACATAAGTTTCCATTTCATATGTGATTTATGAAACGAGTCTTAAGAATTTTTTTATTAAGCGAGCCTCTGGCAAGCTAAAATGAAAAATTCGTCAACAGGTTCATAACTTTCATATGAAATGAAAACAAGTGTAAGATCCTTTTTATCACATAATCAAGATTTGTGGCATGAATTTGCGTAAAACGACAATTTTCATGCAACCTTGAAATGTAAAAAGTGTCCATTTTGACTCCAGTGCGTAAGTCTGTGACGTCGTGTACTTGTCCTAGGCGTGACTTCACAATTGAAAACAATTAAAACTTACAACCAATCACAGGGCTGATGGGTCATATTACATGGATTTATACGCAAAAATATATGACATGGGTATATTCACTGGATAACACAGTATATTATGTAATAAAAGACCTTATGTATATACATATGTACAGTGTATAACTTATTTTGCAAGATATGAAATTAGCCTGTAATAACCTGTTTTTCTGAATGTTCGACAAGAAATCCAAAACAACATTTTTGGGGTTTCTACAGAAAAAGCTAGACCAGAAAATAAACTGATATTTGTGTTCTCTTATTATTTTTCCTTGATTTGCTGAGATATTTTTGATTTAAAGACCGCAAAAGGCCTAGCATTGCAGGACATCCTGAGAGAAGTTCATCTATATGTCCACAGAAGTAAGATATTATGTTTGTCTTGTTAATGTATACCTTTAGTTTGTTAATGAATTAGTAATATTTACAACATGAATATAGATCCCTGTATAATTCACTTCTATTCTAAAGAGCTTTACTTCAGATACTATAGCATTTGAGAATCCAACCTATGTATTTTACTGCTTTATCATTTCATTCTAGATATATTTAGTACAAGTTCTTAGGTTATTTAAATTTTTCTGTTGTCTTTTTTTTCCAGTTGATCTACCTGTGCATGTAAAAATGCATCTCTTGGAAAAAATGGCTGATATTGAGTAAGTTTTGTTGTGTCGAATTAGAATGTTACCATTTGTACTTATTAGTCACCTACCATCCTCAATATCCAGGGGTTACGCTCACTTTCGTTCTCTACACCCCTGGAATATGTCATAGCAAAATTGAAGGCTCGGTGTGCGCCACCTCGTTGATAAAACAATGAGACTAGTTTGATCCTTTGATATACATCAAAAACATCTCGCGGTCACCTAACGGTAAAAGTTGACATGCTTTGAAGTTGGGCATTTTTCCTTTGTAATCTTCAAAGAATGGGCATCAGCCTAGTGATTGGTCAGTTCGTTTTACCTGAGACCAATCAAACAGCTATCTTTGTGCCTTTATTCACGGGGTGTACAGAGCTAAAGTGAGCGTAACCCTTGGATATCGAGGATGGTCTTCCACCGATGCTACCGGTTTGTGCATCCTGTGTGTCAGTCTGCCAGTGTGTCACTTCGGCCGGGGCATATTTCGCAAACTCCCTCCTAACATTGCCAAAGTTTGTATGCTTGTACCTTCAAGGATGGTGAAATGGCAGATACTAAAGTTAGTTTTTGTATCCACAATTTGCAGTTACGATCCTCTGTTTATGTCAATCAATTTGTCTGTCGGGTTTAACTGTAGTCCTCTAGTCTGAAATAAGTAGATTTCAGCAAGGACTAGTGAATCACTCAACCTAACTAGTCATTACGACTTGTGAAAATTACTTAATCACAGTATCATGTGACAGACAGATTATGAAATACAGACATTCCATTCCAAAAACTGTTTAAAATTCAGAAATATTCAATTTCTAAGGAGCTCACCATACTTACGTTGCAATACGTCTAGTAACATTAAAACAGGCCAGAAGATAATCTATTCAACTAGTCCTCAGGACTACCAAGCAAAACTATTAAATGTCTAACTCTGGTCTGGGACATAATTCTAAATTTCGTTGTCGAGTACATCTGAGCATAATGAAGTGTAGTACACTGAAATCTGGTCTTGTGGTCCCACTATACACAGAACTTATATGGTTCTTTGCTCATTTTAAATACCGAAGTTTGTCCAGAGATTTTTTTTGGGGGGGGGGGGGGGGGGGGGATGTATAGGTTGCTCACAGTATTCTGCCTTAATGAATTAAATGCCTACTGCTAGTGTCTGTTTAATTAAAAATGTTCCATCCGGTACTTGTTGAAATAATATTACCACTGGTACTTGTTGAAATAGGATGATATCACCAGTACTTGTTGAATCAGAATTTTGCTATATTTGGGATTGATCTTATAGAAATTTATACTGTACCTGAATCAGGTCATTACTTTTAATTTAATTTCAACTCTATTTTTTTCAGGTACAGATTAGCATCTGGAACAAGTGAAAAAATCCAGCTGAGTTCGTTAATAGCAGCTTTCCAGGTAGCCAGAGACCTTATAGTTCAGGAGGCTAGCTGAATGAAAGTGTAAAACATAAAAGAGAAAGGAAGAAAATATTTACCAGTCAGCCATGATTTAAAAATGAGGAAGAAAAAAAGTGAGCCGATGCCAAAACAATCAGTTCCTGAAAGACAAATATGTATTGAGCATTGAAAATTCCTGTTTTCATTCTAATGGAAGAGAATAGTTCAATACTTTTAAGGATTATTACATTACTAGTGGTTACTAGTGATAATCATTGTTTGCAACATAAGAATTACATTGCTACATATATACATATACATCAAGGATAAAATCAAGGAAAGCATCAATTTAATTATCTTCTAAATTCCAGGGGTTACGCTGTCTTAAATTCTCTGCAACCCTGAAATATGTCGTGATGAAATTGAAGGCCAGTACCACTTTATAGATGGTACAAGTAGACTACTTTGATCCTTTGATGTACATTGGAAGTTTTGGGTGGCAGTGAACATAACTTCGAGGGGCTTTGAATTTGGATGTCACTCCTCTGTGATCTAGCAGCCTTATGATTGGTCAGGGATTTTGTCATGACATGTTCAAAGGTTCTGAGGATGTAACTGATCATAACCACAGGAAATTCAGGGATGCATTTCAACAGATTGCAAACTTAGAGGATGGATCACATCTAGGTTTGAGAGAATATTATTGAAGTGTCCTTTGGTATGAGTTATGGTACATCACTTTCTATACATTAATTCACATTTAGTCTGTAAGTGTTTGTGAAAAATGAGTTTGTTCTGGATGCACATGCTCTGAAAATTAAATTTGCCATCCATTCAAATCTTGGGACAGCACACCCCTAATGAAAGTTGTAGAGACTAATTGAATGTGTGTGTGGGAGGGGAGAAGGAGTGGAATAAAATAATTACCACAGTCCAATGAAGTTTTATTTATCATTCTGTATTTTAGAACTTGTTTAAAATCTTGACAATCTCTGGTATTTACTCAATTATGATTTGATTAAAAATCAGGTGTTTATTAAGGAGATTTAACATATTCAAGCATTATTTTGCACTCTACATAAAAATCGGGTTAAAACTGTCCACAATCCTTAGAGGGACTGGAAGCCTGGGCCCAGTTGCTCAAAAGGCAATTACCTTAATCACAACATTTTTCAATCTCTCATAATTTGGTCAATATCCTTGATAAAAACTCAGATTTTGCATGTAATTTTACTTCACTAAAATATTTGCTATCTTTAAAGTTTTAGCTGATTTAATGTTTGTATTTTAAAAATACAACACAAAGTAACATTTGCGCTGATCACTGATTAAGCTTATTCCCTTTTAAACATCTGGGCTCGGACCCTCATCTAGGTTCAACAGTCTACAAAATAAAGCATTTGGTAGGACGTAAACTTAAATATTCCATCAATCCATTGAATATCTTTAGCTAGATTCAAAAACATAAAGCAACAACTTAACATTGACTTGAATTTTAATTCTAGTGCGTTTTCTAAATATTATAACGAACACTTTTGAAATTAATGGATTTCTTAACTCCCTGCAAACAATTCACGATAATACAGCTTGACCAGATGAATTACTTTACCGATTCCTTCCTAGGCGGGCTTATTCAACTGACTAGACTTCATGTTTCAAGCTGACTGAGCTTTGTCTGAATACTATATAAATCAGAGTTATTTCCCCTGGTTGCAGTTCCGCGACATTTCTTGATATCACGTACGATGTGTCTGGTTTAAATCTCTTGCTAGCTTAATAATAACTGGAAACTTCATACTTAAGTTATAATGCATGTTTCTACCGAAAGAAATTATATCGCTTCATACTGGCGGGCGCATATTTGGTAGCAGGTGAAGTGATCGAACGACCTGAATGCATTGATTTGTGTAGTGAATGCAATTATTACATTTCCGGCACATCTGGTTCCCCCGACACTCATTCGTGATGTCTTTTCTTTTGATTCTGTAAATCAACTTTCCGATTCGGATACATCACTTTATTAACATACTTTCTTTTATATATGTTAACATTGTGTCTAAAGCTAGTTTTTAAGCCAGCAGACGACAGTTGGAGGTTCCAGCGATGCAGGAGGAACTGGCGGAGAGCAAACGGGCAGAACATGTCTGTCGGGCGTTAGATTATCATCACAATTAACAGGAACCCATGCCATTGTGTTGGTACGGTGCACAGATATCTGAAAACGAATTTTCTTGTATTAAAACTCACTCTAGCTGAACCTCATATCTTCAAAAGATCGATGGTTTTCATAGATATACTTGCTATTTCGTATCATTTGTGATACTATGGCATAGCCCTCTGTCAGATAACACCTTTTGTTACAGGTGTATCTGCATCCTAACCATCGATATCGGCGTTCCCAACCATTACACTTCAGTACATTGTCTGGGTGTAATGAAATCACATTGGGTTATCTCGCCACGCAGAATGTCAATCAATTTGTCTGTGGGGTTTAACTCTGGGGGGTAATGTCCTCGCAACAGCTAGGGTCACACAAGGACGAGTGTTTAGAGAGACAACGTCTGAAACGGAAAGTAGATGGAAAAGACCGAAGGCAGTAAAGATAGTTAACGGAAAAGAGATAAATTGGGGCAACATATCAAGTTTGGTCTCTTACATGTCCCCTTCGTAGAAGACAAAAGAAAGCGCAGATTCTGCAGAGGCTCCCACATTAGGCGCCTCTTACGATACACTTGCAGTGGGATACAGCAGGTCTGTTTTTTATTTTTTATTTCTTCAATGTCCCCTTAAAAGAAGACCAGGAAGAAACCACCTCGATTCTGCAGAGTGCCCCACATTAGTCGCCTCTTACGATCATGTAGTGGGATAAATCAGGCCTCTTCTTTCCCCGAACCTGCAATCAAAATTTCGTACATTGTCATTGTTTTGACTTATTAGTGCAATCATGAATTGGTCCATCTCGGGGAGAAACAAAGTATAAATTCATATTTCAATGCACTGAACTTCAATTTAATTCGGGCAATCATAAAGAAGCATATCTAAGCGCGAAAATAACGTGACCTCGAAAATGAATACGTAAATTAAAAGTTAAAGATACAAGTTCTATTTAGAATTGTAGTCATATTCTGTATTTATATAATTGTTTTTAAGGCGAGGAAGCAATTTTTAGTTGAGTTTGTTAAGGTTTTAACGGCCTCGCAATACCTAATGTCATATAAAGACGTAGAAGTAATGTCTGCCGTCAAACCCAGGAATGTTTGGTATTTTGTTTAACGTCCTATTAATTCAGGTCATTAAAAGAGGTGCCTCGATATGTGTAATGCATGCGTGCTTGTTTGTATGTGTGCTAGAGGCAGTATATGTTGGCGATAGCGCGGATCTGATGCCGACTTTATGAATGTTACCTCACTGAAATACTATGCCGAAGGCTCCCAGCACAGTATTCCACCCATGTTGCAATAGCTCCCAATGCTGAACGTTAAGCATGAAATAACAACTACCATTTTTAAGGACCTTTTGTGTGTCCCGGCCTGGGGACAGAACTCATTGCCTGCCCCACTTCGGCAACGCTCAACACTAAGGCCAAAAGTAATATATCTGCCAAGCAAGGTACTAGGAAACAAAAAGGTTTTCAGGAAGTGGAAAGAAATATACAGATCCCAAATGTTGCAACGAGGACAGCAAAACAATTGTGTTTTCTGCAATGTCCTCTGTGTTGAAGACGCAGAAGAAACTCCCCGATTCAGCAGGAGGGCCCACATTAGTCGCCTTTTATGACATGAAGTGAGATACAGCAGCCCGCTTCTTTCCACAAAACTGCAGGAGAATCCAGGAATGTATGTTTGTCAACAACGATCTAAAGACACAAGACGAGACATCGTTAATAGACACTGGACTCTCCTGGCCAACAGGTCCTAATGACGGCCATTGAAGATTGAAATGTTGTCATGTCTATGCTTATTATTCTTCAAGTTTACACTTTTCTCGAATTTTTCTTCGTGAGGGACGTTAAAGAGACCAGTATCGAAATGCTGCCCATGTTGAACGAGTACTGGTGATCTTTATCTTTTCTTTTCATGTGACCTTAGCTCTTTCAAGGACGTTAAACCGTAAAAAAGAAAGGAAGTATTGGCCTGTTGGGGTGAAAATGTCCGAGATGCATCTAATTTAACTAGTTGGTGAGATCAAATCGGCTACCTCTTGTATAATTGCTCAATAGTGTATAAAAGAATCACTCATACAGTATTGACGACAGGACACGTCCTTCTGGCGCATAGAGATTAATATTTTTCACCCTGTACGAATTACCGACATCTCCTCTCATAGTGCTGAGCAGAATCTAACCAAAGTTTGGTGGTATCATCTTTAGCCCATTGTTAACAAAATCTGAAAGAATAAAGGGTCTGATCATCTTAGAGACAATGGGGCTAGGTCTAAAGCGTAATTGAGGCTGGGTTTTTTTCTTCATTAAATGACATCTCAAGAATTAAGGATATATTTCAACAAAATTCATTGGTAGAATGACTAGCTTAAGGGTCTCAAAAGTTATACAAATAAAGGGTATGACCCTTTTGGGGATAAAAGGCCAGGTAAAAGGGATAGAATTGATTCAGTTGCTTTAAATGGCGTCTCCTCCATAAGACGGCTCCACACATCGTCATCAGTGACGTGACGTACTTCCGGAAAAAGTACAGCTCGAAATCAATTATCTCGATCGAAATGTGCATGCACACTTCTTGTTGCAATAAAATCAACTCTCCATAGTTGCATAACCATTATATGAAAGTTTTAACGAATTGTGCTGGTTAATTGCGAAAGTGCGGAGCCTCCTTTACTAATGGGTATGTTTCAACCAAATGAAAGAGGTATCATGCTTCTCCAATGGGGATCGAACGTTATATACACATGAAGGTTCTAACTATAAACCTAATGGCGTCTCACCGCTTTAAGTGTTATTAACTTACAGTCACATACTTTACAGTGCTTATTGTCTGCAACTCCTGGTATATCTACCGCTGGAATGGGTAAAGCCCAGGTAGTGTAGCCCCAGTGTCGATGTGAAACCAAACAAGAACGGGTTTAACAAACATACACGCAAACACGACTCGCCTCACCAATCACCTGTACCGTTACTGTAGAAGTAAGTTTAGCCGACTAAAATCATAGCGTATTATCGAATTTTAACTGATAGACGCATTCATAATTTAGCGCACTCAACATATATACAATAGAAACATATATGCATGCATCGAAATTTCAATTATAGGTGTTATAATTTAGCGCTATATTTACAGCGCCAAAGGCGTTAAAATTGGAATACTACTAAAATAAGTTGACTCACAGTAACAAGTAACTGAAAAAGGGCATATTTAAAAAAATGCAGTATGATGTGGCAGGCACGATATAATGGTCTACTAAATACTTATAATTTCAAAGATATGGGAGATACCATATATAACTACCCCATACATCTACCTTTTCCAGGAGTTGTCTACAATATCTAGCGTAATGGATGTGGCAAAATAAATCAAACCGGTTCAAATATGAACAACATTTGCTTGATAGACTGAAGTGGTTAGATACAATTTAGGAACATTATGGATGACATTTGTTTACGTATTTATTGGCTGGATGATAAGCCCGTAGAATTCCGGGAGGTCAGGATCCGTCAGAAGCACTTTCTATTTTTCAGCAATCCAATTAGACTCCAGGTGACCAAGTGGGGTAAAAGGGGTCAAGTTGGCTTATTTTCATTAAACTACACCTTTTCTAGAACTACTGAAAATGTTTCAACCAAATTGTAGCTGTAGCGTGCTTAGTAGACGCGAGGATTAAAAGATATAGCTACAAACATAAAACTGAGATTCCTTTGGGCAAAGCAACGTGTTTAAAAGAGGTCAAATGGACTAAATTGCTTTAAATATCTCTTTCCAA